GATGTTTCATGAGACGAATTATTCTTACTCTCATGGTAAATTGACTTTTTGAAGCATCAAGTTGGTCTACGAATGTAATGTTGCTTTGAGTCATGTTTCTGTTTGTGAAAAAACTAATCATTGTTAAACACATGTGACTCAACCAAGTAATATGGATCGTGAAAAATAGGCAAAACAGGAACAATTCAAAATCATAGGGTCTGAGTGAAAATATAGTTTTAGGGACGAAATTTATAACTTTTGACATAACTCAAGGACGCCGAATGTAATTTAGTCTAAAACATATAATGTAGAAAGTCTTTTGTACGTAATTAAAATCAAATTATAAAAATAAAATAAAATTTTTATCATCCAAATATGAATGATGTTATATACTTTTAAAAAACCTCATAATGCAAACCTGAAAATAAAGTAAGTATAAATAGTTTTTTCTGATGCACATCAGAAAACATATCAAGTAGTAGAACGGGGCAACAGTGGCACGGGTAGGGGTATTTCAGGTAAAGAGAACGTATACATAGATGTTGTTCTACCCCCATTCATCATGCAAATAGTATTCAATGTAGAGGAGTATTTTTTTTATGTGGTGTATAGAAATATACCAGTTCCATTCATTGATATATACCATTGTATTTAATTCATGATTACATTTGATTACACAAGTTTCAGGAATGTTGCAAATAGAGGATATAACGTTGATTATACACAGACTCACAAACAAACATAGGTCAACACATTAAAAAAATCGATATAAAGGATATATTTTTTTTTTGTAAATGAATGAAACTAATATGCTTAAAGTAGATTGATTAATTTTTTTTCATGACCTCTCAACAGGAATACAATAATAACATGTAATAAGAACAGAGTAAATGCAAGAAATTGGAGAAGAAGAAGGTATGCAAAGTAAAGAAAGAACCTGGAAAAAAAAATTGGAGAAGAAGATCGCTGAAGAAGAACACTGTAAATCGTAGGACTCAATCCAAAATCCTAAGAATAACAACTTCAATGTAATCGTATATATAGGGTGTTTTTGAATAAAAAAATCATTATCTTCCAAAAAAATTGGGATCCTAAGATATTATCTTGGAGATTTTCGGCTATTCATTTGGAAAAAAATTAAGATATCTGTTATATTGATTCAAAATTTCAAATTAATTGACTTGCTTATTTAATGAGTTTTAAAATTCAAACTAATATCTCAAACTGATTCATTTTATGTGGGATATACTGTGAGATAAATTATGAATAATATTGATTATAATTTTAACTCTCAAATAGTTTGTTGCTTTAATGGGATTAGATTAGATTTTATATGTTAATAACCGAATTATTGATATGCTTATTTAATGAGTTTTTTTAAAAAAAAAAGCTAAACAGATTTGAATTTTGAAGCCAAAAACTATAAATAAGGAAGTTAAATTAGGAACAATATTAATTAGAGAAACTGATATCTGGTATATAAATAGAATGATATGCTTTAATTGATAACATAATTGTTGAATTTAAATATTCTATAATTATTAAAGATTCTATAATTAAATGTAATTGTGTTTGAATTCTATTTAGGGAAGATGATGTCAATAATTTGATCTAAGGGTGAAAAACAAAGGATTGAAATACAATCAAAGGCCCTGATTGTTTCATTGATGAATTAAGGGTTCTCTTTTAATAATATTTAGAGATTGTCCAAGACATGGAAGTTCGCTTCGACATGACGATTAGGCAGAAAGCAATTTTTGAGTGTCTAAGGGCCCCACATGCTCAGGATTTTCTTATGACTATTCATATTGACGGTCTTGGCCCGCATATGTCGCCAGTGGAGTATCGTGCCATCCTCAAGTATCGCCTTATGATCCCTTTATTTCCGGCTGACGAGACTTGCCCTGTTTGTCGTAAGGCATGCTTGGACTCCTTCGGGGAGCATGCAGTTCATTGTAAAGAGCTCCCGGGTTTCAAGTACCGACATGATCTGGTTAGGGATGTTCTTTTCGACATATTTAGGTGCGCTGGGGTTTCTGCCAAGAAAGAGGCACCTGTGAACTTTCTGACTGACCCATTGGAAGGAAGATCAACACTTAGAGCAGCTGATGTTTTAGTATTTGGATGGGCTGGAGGAAAACATGCATGCGTGGATCTAACAGGGGTTTCCCCTCTTGTGGGCTCGGGGAGTGGAGTTTTCACTGTGGGGCAAACTGCTTTAAAATCTGCATCAAGCAAAGTGGCAAAACATGAGAAAGCGTGCATGGAAGATCAACACACGTTTATACCCTTTGCATTTGATACTTTTGGTTTCCTTGCACCAGAAGCTGTGAAACTACTCAATAGAGTCCAACGGGTCATGCATAGTAATGTTATGACTCCAAGATCTATAGATGTTGTTTTTAAAAGAATTAGTTTTGTCATCCAAAAAAGGGGTTGCGACACAACTTGTTGCACGTTTACCCGCTACGTGTATGTAAATCTTTCTTATGGAACGATGATTTAATAGAAAAAAAATCTGGCACATAAGCAGTTACTTTTTATAGGTGAACATTTGGATGACTTGAACCGATTTCAAAAAGTAGACATGGTCAGTTCTAGACCAGAAAAAGACTAAATAAGACTTGTTTGCGGAAACCGAATTGTAGGATGACAAATGCACTCAAGAAATCAAGCACAGATTCCAAAGAAACTTCTGAAATCTATTTTTATCATGAAGTTGTATGGACTTAATGTTAAATAAGAAATTATTGTTTATTTTACAACGGGGAGAATTTCATCTATGTCTATATCCTTGTAAAATTTCAAATTACATATATATCTTCATAAAACCTATTAATTCACATAAATACCCTAATAATTAATTTAGTCGTATTTAATATATTAAAAAAGCAAAAACATTTAAATTAATTTTTTATTAAGAAAATAATTAACTTGTAACATTACTATATTACCCTTTTTTCACATTGATATTTGCGACCCATTTATTTCTTGAATCCTTACTAAATATTAACACCCATAAAAATATTTTTCCGTGATTTTACCTATAACTGTAACCGAAGAACCAGAGGAAGAACAAAATTGTTTAGAAGAGAATAATCATAAGTCTTCTAAATCGATTGTAATATATTGTATAACAATCGGTTATGGAAACGCCATAACCGGGTTTTGCTAATCGATTATGCAAAATATGAAGAGGAAAAGAATCAAGCCATGAATAAGGAGATCGATTATATAAGGAATTGTAAATGAGTATTTAGTAATTTAGTTGTAATCTAGTTTAAAGATAATTTTTAAAATTTTAAATATATTAATTATAATTAAATTAAGTATTTAGGTATATATGTGAGTTTATGGTTTTTATAAGGATATACATATAATTTGAAGTTGTATAAGAATATAGACGTAATTATGAAAGTTTATAAGGATATAATATGTAGATTAAGTAAGTTGGTTTAATAAGAACTAACATATGGTATTATATTTCACTGACTTACAAATACATTTTTAGGATATCTTTCATGGCCTATATCAATGCTGATTTGATGATATAATATGGCAAATCATAAATAATTCAAAAATATTTAATATAGAAGAAAAAGAATATATATATATATATATATATATATATATATATATAGGTGGTCTCCTCCAAACACACGAATACACAATACACACATTTTCAATCATAAAAAAATCAAGATATAGTAAATTTCGAGTCAACCTGTGTTCATATTACTTGTATAATTTTCTAAAGTAGAGATCTGTCAACATATTATAAGTAGTATTATTCATTTGTGAGACTAAAGGGAGTGGGAGGCGCTAACCCTCGCCACTGCCCTCGCTCCCAATTCGCTACTCCACCCCCTTGGTTATGATAAATGGTTCGCTAAGAAGAACACGCCAAAGAGCTAGCGAGAGGAGAGAGATAGAAAGGGGAGAGTTGATTGGCCCTTTCCTTTTTTTTTTTTTTTTTTTGTGATTCTCACTTGGTTTGCGGTATTCTTTCTCTTCCTGAGAACCGATTGTGTAAAGACAGGATTGAATTGGCATGTTTTTCGCTTTGACAATTTCACAAATAGGTTAGAGAAAGGGAGATATGAGTAATGCAACCCATGTGTTCGACGAAATGCTGTTGGGAGGGACAAGACACAAAAATCTGAATTTGACTAAAATGGACCTCTAAAAATCCCAGACTTACACATCACACCCCATCTTAATTCCTCTCACAAACCAAGTTTTTGAAATTACCAAAAGGACCCTACATTTAAATGTTATACTTATTTTCATGTAATTGATTTATATTATATTAATTGTTAGTGGTTTAAAAAAAATAAAATTTGATTAATATTTGTGCATAAAAAATATTTGTGTATTAAAATAAAGTAATATAATTAAATTAGAAAAAAGAAAAAAAAATAGAGTGCTAGGAGTGTTACCACTCCCTACTAAATGTTAAGATTGGTTGCTAAATGAAAAAAAAAAAAAAATAAGGTGGCACTCAAAAAGCTGATGTGACAAGATGCTAAGAGTGTTACCAATCCCTTAGCCTAATGGATATATAGTTAAGTTGTAATGAGTCAAATCTGATTTGTTTTTCCCTAAGAAGTCAAAGCTGATGTGGGAAGATGTTAAAAGTGTTACCACTCCCTACACACATTTTTCAACTAGTTTTATAAATTATTTTTATTTTTTTAAAGTAAAATATCTATATATATATATATATATATATATATATATATATATATATATATATATATACACTTAAAGCAATAAGATAAAAAAGATAATAAAAAACTTAGTTATTCTAAAAAGAAATAATTGCTTATATTTGTCTTAAATTTAAAATTAAAATGTATGTATCTTCTAAAGTCCAAATGATAAAAAAATAAAAATTTAATATATTTGTTCTCTAGAAAATACAACGACTGAAATTATCAAAATCATGAAAAACTGAAGAAATAATCCTTGGTTTTACCAGAACGAAACATCGTCACAACTTAGCCCCGTGTTCATGGATGAATTCAACGTGGGTTTTTCGAAAACTAAGAACCAATCTTCCGCCATGGCTCTCCTCTCTCACTCACTCTCCCAGCTCTCCAAAGTTCATCCTAAACCAGGAACAATTATGCCGTCTGTTATCCATATCGGGAAGAGAAGGGTATTTCAAGGTTGGATCTTCAATCCATGGCTCCTTAATCAAGAACCCACTATTTAATAACCTTCACAACCCTATCGAAAATCAATATCACGTAGCTATCTGGAATTCCCTCCTCTTTGTCTATTCAAAATGTGGCTACTTATCTGATGCATCCAAACTGTTCGACAAAATGCCAATGAAAGATGCTGTATCGTGGAACACGATCATATCAGGGTTTTTCATCCGAGGTCTCTACAATGTCGGATTCGATTACTTCAAAACCATCTATAGTTCTTCTGGTGCTCATCGTTTCGATCGTGGAACCATCACCACCATTTTATCTGCAAGTGAAGGATCGCAGTTCTCCAACGTTAACAAAATGATCCACTCCTTGGTAATCATCCATGGCTACGAGCGCGAAACTACAGTAGCAAATGCCCTAATCACATCGTACTTTTCTAGTGAATCTTTTCATTCCGCAAAACAAGTTTTTGAAGAGATCAATGATAGAAACGTAGTTACTTGGACAGCAATGATCTCAGGGCTCGCACAAAATCAATATTTTGAAGATAGCTTGAAGGTGTTTGTGGAAATGCCTAGAGGATTGGTCTCTCCAAATCTACTAACATACTTGAGTACGTTAATGGCATGTTCTGGTTTACAAGCACTTAAAGAAGGGTGTCAGATCCATTGTCTCCTTTCAAAACTAGGCATGGATTCAGATTTACATATAGAAAGTGCACTCATGGATATGTACTCTAAATGTGGCAGCATGCAAGAATCATGGCAGATTTTTGAATCAGCTAGGGTTCTTGATGAGGTCTCCATGACTGTAATTCTTGCAGGTTTTGCACAAAATGGATGTGAAGAAGAAGCTGTTCATGTGTTTGCAAGAATGATGAAAGAAGGAATCAAGATTGATTCAAACACAGTTTCTGCTATTCTAACTGCTTTCAATGGCGACACTTCCTTATCTTTTGGTAAACAAATCCAATCTTTAATCATTAAAAAAGGGTTTTTCTCAAATCCATTTGTGGGAAACGGACTAATCAACATGTACTCAAAATGTGGCGAATTGGAAGAATCAATCAAAGTGTTTGAAACAATTCCTGAGATGAACACAGTTTCATGGAACTCCATGATTGCAGCTTTTGGTTCTCATGGTGATGTTTCCAAAGCTCTTGAACTATATGAAAAGATGAGAGAAGAAGGTGTGGAGCCCACGGATATTACGTTTTTGTCCTTGCTTAATGCTTGTAGTCATGGAGGTTTAGTAAACAAAGGCATGGAGTTTTTAAAATCCATGGAGAGAGATTATAAAATTAGTCCAAGAAAAGAGCATTGGGCTTGTGTAGTTGACATGTTAGGGAGAGGTGGATTTTTGAATGAAGCGAAAAGTTTTATTGAGGGACTACAAGTGAAGCCTGATGTACAACTCTGGCAAGCATTGTTGGGTGGTTGTAGTATACATGGGAATATAGAGATTGGGAAGTATGCAGCAGGGCAATTGCGTCTTTTGACACCGGATAGTCCTGTGCCTTATGTTTTGATGGCGAATATTTATTCTTCAAAAGGGAGGTGGAAAGAGAGGGCGGAAAGTATAAGAGGAATGAAGAAGGTTGGAGTGGTGAAGGATGTAGGGATAAGTTGGATTGAGATTGAGAAAAAAGTTCATAGATTTGTTGTTGATGATCGTATGCATGAGGAAACCGAGGGTATTTTTGGGATTTTGTTGGTTTTGTTTAGACATTTGACGGATGAAGGGTATGTACCGGATAAGAGGTTTATTTTAAGACATTGGGATGATGAAGGGGTAGTTTTGTCATTGCAAAATCAAGATGAATAATGTAGAAAACTTAATGATAGAAGTCTTTGGTGTAATCAAATTAGATTTTATTAGAATATTTTTGGAAGAAATGAAATAATATAATATGAAGGAATTATAAGAAATTGGAATATTATGAAGTATAATATGAAGGAATTTTAATATGTTGTTATATCATAACTATATCCCTAGGAAACTAGGTTGTTTAATAATCAAAACCAATTTCCATCCATGCTTATGTTGTGTGTCTCATGAAGCTTTGATCAATTCTAATGATAGAGGTGTACAAAACCCGGATAAAACATAATAAAAATGTGAAAGAGAACAATCATAAGCAACAATTTGATTGATTACTTCACTTGGAGATAACTTTCATGAATCTATTGATTGATTTGAAAATTCCTACGGCTTGACCAAAAAATGACGGGCCCTCCTCCGTATCATCTCCACCTTCTCCAAATATTATCTGCAGACACAACATGACATGACAGGTTGTACTGTATTTTAGTAGCATGCAAAGAGTGATCCACATCATTAAAAATAACCCTAGAAAGTTTGTCAGTCCTGTATACTAACCTCAAGGTCTTCTGAGACAGGACGACTTATCATTTCCCTGGCTAGTAGATAACGATTTGGTCTATCCTTGTCGTCAAAGAACACCTTCCATAATCTAAGTATTTACCAAAAAACCACGTGTTAAAGAATTAAAAAAAAATAGGTGACATGACATTAGTATTAATTAATTTTTAAGTAATTACCCGGGATAGCATCTAAATACAGCGCCCGTAGGTAGAGGCTTCATTGAGTAAACCGTTGTAAAAGATCTGTAACAATGTTATTGTTTGGTAATTAGATCATTTAATGGACTTAATTTGGTAAGCTATTTCTTGCATTAAAGGCGTCATTTTCTAAATTATCATTTTCTAAAAAATATGTAAGAATGTCATTTATTTATACCTTAAGAAGTATCTTCTCAACTTCCGAACATTGAATCCTACTCCAACATCCTCACTAATAAGACGTGGGTTCCACATGATGAGAGGTCGTGGCTAATATGATGCAAAAATAAAATATTTCACCAAATTGTTTATTATTTATGATTTATCATAACATAAGGAACAAAAAGAGTGAAAATAATATGTTTCTAAATAACATTCTACTTTTCCTTCTATTAGGACATTTTATACTTTGTTAAACCACCTAATTATAGTAGTGAAAATTGCTTTCTATTTAGATGAATCTGCTGTATTTCTTGCATATAATCCAATCCAAAATGGTTCAAATTTCATTTTTGTCGATTATGTTTTCTTTATTTACACATTTTCTTAAGTCCAAAAATTCACATCCATTTGTTCTCTTACATTACAATTTACATACATATAAAACAAGACTCACAAATATATCACATGGTGGAAATTCAAAACCAATAAACAAGATTTTGTTTTTCTATTTTCATGGAAAATGAAAATGAAAAATTACCGGATCATCTGATAAATCGGATGCTATTCTCTCTACATAATCCAACATCTGATAATCTGGCACTACCATCACAATAATTTCATCTTCTTTCTCCACAGGCTTTCGGTCACTTAAGCTGGATAAAATAGGGACCAAAAAGAAATAAATTTCCTTTTTTGGACGTAAACTAAAAAACTCAAGTAAGTACAAGGACCAAATTTGTAACTTACCTAGCGAAACTGAAAGTGGCATCATTCCATCTATACTTCAAAAGAGCAGCAGCACCAGCATCTGGAAATATTGCTTTGACTCTCTAACCATAACCATTGATACGAATTAGCAACTTGAATCACAAAATGTGAGTAAATGACCATTTTACCCTTCTACTAACCTGACATCCAGTTTCCTGGATGAGTGCATCCACAAAAATTCTAGATAGTTCCCAGAGTTCAGCCTGAGCACCTTCATCATCAAGAAACTGCAACTGTGGAATCAAAAGCTCCACCTGCAAAAAATATCATGAATGTGATATTTTGACATTGTCATGTTTAGTTATCCTTGGATTTAGCTTCAAAAAGTCACTATAGTTTACAAAATCCAAGTAAAAAACATTCAAGTCACAAAAGGGTATATTTTTCTATAGTATTTGATATGGTGAAGAGTTTGTAGAACATACAATGGCTCTCATCCCTCCTGCAGACACAAAAGCAGCAGTTGCTTCACTTGATTGTCGAACTGCACCCTCCAAATCAGAAGGCAAGCAACTGAAACACATTTCTCAATTTCCTCAACTGCTTTCACAAAATCGCATGTCCACCAATACAAAAGATACAACGCATTTTCACAATTCTTTTTTTGAACTTCAGATTAATGCTTCAGCATTTACACTAGATTTCGTATAGAAGGGATCAAGGGAACTATACACATATGTGATTCAAGGATCAATTCCTATTTTCCCTAAATATTGCAAAGAAATTGACTATAGGTTGTATATCTAAATTTTAATAATCTGTAACAATCAAAACTAGAAGCTATGTAAGCTTAACTTCAAATTACGCGAAAATTTGAATATCGTAACTAAAGAATTGTTTAAATAATCATGAAAGAAGGCATTGAAAAAATGAGATTCACCTGTCACCTTCTTCTTCTACTTCTTGTTGAAGCGAAGCTGATGAGATTTCCTCAAATTCGTCATTTGAAGATTGTCCTTCAAACTTGTCAAACTTGGCATACGTTCTAGAATCGAATGGAGGTCTTTGGAGTGAAATTCCGTTGTAGCCACATGATTCAAGGGGGTAGATAGACGATGGGAAGCAGGTGGAAGAGGGTAATTTGGGAATAGACGCAGAAGGAGGAGAAGAAGAACAACAGATGTTTGAGTAATAGGAGGAAGCCATGAAAGATTTGGAAATCAGGGAGGCCATTGATTACGGGAAAGGAGGGGATAAGTGTGGTAACGTTCCGGTGTGGACGGGTGCAAGCACCATCCAACGGTTTCTTCGATTAAGTATTGCCACGTGTCCAACGTCACTTTTACACTTTTTTTTTTCTTTTTCTTTTTCTTTTTTTCCCTAAGTAATACATCAGCTTTCATTCATTTTCCTTTTGCTCTTTAAGACTTTTATTTTTAGTTTTAAAAATAAAATTAATAAGACTATAAATCAAAAACTAAATAGAATTAATTAAAAAATAATTAATAAACACAAAATTTAATAAAATAAAAATATTTTATTACTTAAAAATAAAAATTACATAATAAAACCTAGAATACATAATAAAAAATTACATACCGATAAAAACAACTAAGATTGTGTCAACACTAATTCTTCTGTCGGAGTCCATGCTTTAGGCTTGACCATTTTTTCTCCTCCACCAATTATTTTTCTTTGCGGTATGGAGAGAGTGAGGGGGGTTGAGTTTCTCGTACGACTTCATCATCTGAGTCATTGAAGCTTTGGGTTTGAAGGTGGTTGGGTGGGGTTTGGCTTTGAGCTTGATTTGCTGAAAGTTGATCGAGAAAAACAACAAAGTTGTTGAACATGTTGGAGTTAACATTGGACACTTACACGGGGTAGTATTGTCGGACATTTTGATATTGAAATTGTGGAGGGGATTGAATGAGGACATCAAGTTAGAGACGATAAACCGGGAGTGATGGATTGAAAGCGAAAATGCTTTTAGTTGGCGTAGTTGAACTAGAAAAACAAGTTTTTCTTCTATCAAATTTTTGGGATTAGGTTGATGGGATTGTTGGTATTCATTTTTCTTAGAAATAAAACCAAAAACAATTTTGTCTAATTTATTTAAATGTGAGATGTATTACTTACGCGGCTTTCAAAAACATTTTTGCCTAATTCATTTAAATGTCTAGTCAGGAATACAAGCGATTATTTCTGTTTCCAGCTGTATAATGGTGTAATTGACATGTAATTTCTTACTCTAAGGACTAAAAAAAAAATTTACTGACTAACTCAGATAAATGATCAAACTTAATTGTGTTACAATAGCATTTTCCCTTTTAAAAAAAACTAGGATTTGCAATCTTACATGTAAATTTGAACCAAACATAGGATTTGATTGGAATAAAAATTCTAAATGACTAATAACATAGAAAGCATGATATTTTGTCACTTTTCAAGGTTTAACTATCCAAGTTTAATTTTTGTTAAAAAAGTTATATATTTTTGGATAAAAGTTCTATCGCGACCATTATGACCTGCAAATGCAAATGCATGTCTTGCTAGTTTTGCTTGTTCTTAGAGAAACACTCATATTTTCAAGAGGTTCTATCTCAACCACTATCAATTTAGAATTATTATTTTTAATGTTAGTACTTATTTATATCTAAAAAGTTTATATAAAATTTTATAATTTTTTTCTCCTCTATAAACAAACATGTATGTCAACATATGTCGATACCAAACCGCAAAGCTCGTTATATAAATGGTCATTGGTAAGAAACGGATCCGAACTGATCACCGATAAAAAATTAACATTTTTTAGACTTCATTATACAAATGGTCTAAGTGTTTGTATGAAAGTTGTAGTCCCAGACAAAATTATAGAAACCAAATTTTATAGTTCGATTTTCAACACCAAAAAAACTGAAATCGAACGATTTTTCAACCAAAAAAAAAACTGAACTAAATCATAAAAAACTAAATCAAAAGTGTTTTTAACCTGAAAAATTAAAATTGAATCATAAAACCCGAAATCAAATGGTTTTCCAAAAAAAAAAAGAACTTTACATTTTGACATTATTAGATGATATTTATAGACGACGAGAAATTATATAGTTTGATATATTAGCTATTTTATTTAAAAATTGGTGACTTATTTAATTTTAATTAAAACCAAATGGTTAAACTGAAAATAATAATAATAATAATAATTTTTTATATAATTAGCCCATATCCAAATCATATAAAATCGAATCAAACCCCTCAAATCGAACGTCCCCTAAACTTTTTGGGTGTCACGATTATGCATGATTTATATAATGTAGTAGATATATGTAAGTTTTAAAATCAGCAAAGCATTTGACACAACATACCGCCCTCCTTAACCTCAACTTATGAACCATTTGAATCATTTTCAAAACAATAATTCACATGAGCAAAATACACCATTATTTAACGGGTCAATGGAATAAAAAAAATAAAGTGGAAAATTGACAATGTAAGAAAAGAATTAGTATTATAGAACAAGCATGAAAAGATTTATGTTCATGATACAAATCACTCAACCAAAACCAAAATACTATGAAATGGAGTGAAAAAAAAAAAAAAAAAAAAAGGCACAAGGGATGGAAAGCTTTCATTTTCAAACCTAGAGTTTGAAAACATTTATGCTTTATTAATCTCCTTCACACAAAAAAGAAAGGCATATTTAATCATTTCCCCGGAGATGCAAATCTTGACTTATCTCTTTGTCGATTTGATCCTCTATCTATTGGTGAAGATGTCTTTCCCCCAACACCCACTTGCCTCATCATCTCTACACATCACATCATCAAACATATCAAAAAATAAACTAACAAAAACACTTTTAAAAAACGTTACATTTCTTCTTCCGATTATAATTCATACCTCGTTTTCTCTCAAGCTCTTGATCCAGCTCTTCCTTCCACTTTCTCTGTACTTGTGAAAAATCCACACTGAAAATAACACATTTAAAAAAAAAAAAAAGATTATAAACAGATTTTTTTAATAAACAAAATGAAAGTATATTTATTACTAACCCGGGATTGGTGTTTGGTTGTTGAGATTCTGCTCCTGTGAGATCATTATTACACTGTGGTGAGGAAAGGTCCATTGGACTATGAGTATGAGTGCTTTCTTCACCACCACTCATAGGGCTTGAATTACTTGCAACATCAACTGGTTTATAAGGAGGATTTGGAGACCTGTTTTTTGGGGGGAGTTTTAAGTAATTTGGAGAGCCTCCTCCTCCATTGGTGGATGTTTCAGTATTATTGTCTATGGAACAGGAAGGGATTACACTGTTGTAGAACTCTTCATATAATGGTGTTTGAAGTCTTTTTAGTTCTAATGCCTGAATCAAATGAAATATCAAATATGAATGAATTGAAAGTAGATTAAAAAATAAAAAATAAAAAATAAAATCAGTACCTTGTCATCCAGAAACGATCTTATTTTGGATTCAGTTAGCTCATCATCGTCCTCAGAGAGGGATCGGCTAATTTGAAAAGAAGTACAGCTGTCGCTTGGGGATTGGACCACGTCACCAACAACTCCTTCGAAACATTGTTCAATGTCCAAGGTTCCTTGTTCTTTTAGTATGCAACTCTCGTTAACAGAAGGTTCTTCCATAGGGTTGAAACTCTAATTACCAAACATAATATGCAAATCAAATTTAGTTCCTTTTAGACTCCAAAAAAGGTAAATTTTAAAATGAAGAAAAATAAATAAAATATATCCACCTTATTGATGTCATCCATCTGACACATGTCATTATCAGTGTTATCTGGTCTCCACTCAAGTTTACTTTCTTCAAAATTCACAGCAGAGAAGTTGATAGTGCCCAGATTACACATGGAACCAGGGCTGGTTGTCATTTAATATAAAAAAAAAAAAAAAAAAAAATAGTTAATTTTGCATTCTTATTTCCTCTGTTCCAAAATAAATGCAATATTTTGAGGTAGTGTATGTGTATCTAAAGCACAATATTAATATTAATATACTCACGAGTTATCCAGAATGCTTGAGCATGAAGTGGAAGGAGCTTCAATATTTTCCTGACATGATTAAATGAAAAAAAAGAATTATGGGTGTAGGATTAAAAAAGCTAAATGCAAGAAATAGCAACATACTTTCATTTATTTGTTTAATATAGCATCCTACTATCCTTATTAAGACAATTGTAGTTTCAAAATACAAATCTTTTAAAGGATAAAATTATATGAAAGTATTTCTGTTTTTTTTTTGCATTTAGACAATACAAAAAATGGAGATGGAAAAGAGCCAAAAAAAACTAACCATTGTTGGAGTAGCAACATGAGAATTTGGCTGAGATTTCCCTGTAACAAAAGGATGCTACAAGAAATAATGCAAAAAAATGGGAACAACATAAGTTGAGACTTGACTCTTGAGAGAAATTAAAAAGGATTCAAATTTAGAATCACCTGTAACAAATCAGAAGCAGAAGGCCTCATCTCAGGTTCCCTGAAATATAACCAACTTAGTGTAAGTGGAAACAAGGTGAAAAAACAAAGACCAAAATACCCCCATTATACAGATTGAAATAATAAATAAATATAAAGGCATGCTTCATTTGTGGATTCTAGCAGATTTAGAATTTAAGATTCTAATGCAATGGTGTGTTTGTGTTTGTGAATTTCAACATTCCTAGAGGGTGGTAAAAGGAATTTGATTCTATTCTTTCTTTTTTTATTAAAAGACCAAAATACCCCCATTATACGGATTGAAATAAATAAAAAATGAGAATGATTTAGATGTAAGTACTTGTGTAAGCATTTGAGAAGTAAATCTTGTGCCTCGAAAGAAAGATTGTCAGGAATAGGTGGATGAGACTTTGTAGTGCCAATATAAAACAGAGCTGTAACCTGAAATGAAGATAAAATAATATAAAATGATGTGGAGTATTGATCAAAGTTTAAAACATAAGTATTGAAATTAAAGACACATTCTATAGAAAAAAGTAGTTTGAATAGTACCTCTTGTTGATATTGTTGGCTCCAGGGAGGCTTTCCTGTAGCCATCTCAATTATCGTACACCCAACACTCCATATGTCAGCAGAGCTAAAAAATGATAAAAAGAAAAAGAAAAAGAAAATAAGAAAACTAATATCCAAACAATTCGTTTCTCAACACCCTTTTGGATGAATAGAAGATCTATGAGTTAACACAATTCATACTATGTAACATAGCATTTACTTACACTAACTGTTGCAACTAAATACCAACAATAAACATATGAAAAGTGTTGCAAGATATGAACTTTTTGAGTTAACAGATGTATCAAGATTCAAGAGTAGAGACCCATTGTCTACGTTTAAATGAAAAATTGAAAACACAAGAAATCAGGTGTAAAAATGATAGATATAAATGTACTTACAAGCTATGACCAGTCTGAAGTATAACTTCAGGAGCCATCCAATATGGTGTTCCCTTCATTGACTTTGCACCTGACCCATTAGCCTGATAAAAGTTTAGTTTTTATATTAAATATATACTTGCCTATGGTAATTTAAAGGTGAAAAAGGTAGAGGATTTACCAGTTCAACAACTTGTTTTGATGCACCAAAATCCGCTAGTTTGATGCATCCTTTATTGTCAACAAGAATGTTTGCCCCCTGAATGTGAAAAGAGATTTATATATCATTGCAGAATGATGAAGTAAGAAACTTAGAACAAGAAAAAGGACAAAATAGACACCTTAATATCGCGATGCATTATCCCATTCTTGTGCAAGTAATCAAGCCCCAATAACAATTGTTTTGTGTACATTCTTATGACCTGAAAAAAAGAGATAAGTTATCATATAAGAAGATATCCAAAGGGATAAAAAAAAGTGAAATTTGTGATTAGAAAGTTACATACTGCTTCAGGGAAGGGTCCAAATTTGCCTAAAAGAGATGAAATTGATCCTCCAGGAACAAATTCCAAAAGAATATTTAAAGTTTCCTCCTCTCTTACTGTTCCAAGATATCTCTAAAGTACCAAAACATAACAGCATTAGTTTGGAAAAGATTAAAGAATTGAAATTTCCTATAAACTCAGTGACATTTCACTTACAACAATGTTTGCATGAGAAAGATTCTTAAGAAGCTTCACTTCTTCTTCAAGCTCCCTTATGTGAACCTATTTGTACAATCCACCGAGCTAAGTAAACACTAAAGACTAATTGAATAACTTGAAATAAAGTAACAGACATACACAAATACAGACTCAGAGATTGATGGGTATACCTATAAGTCTATAAATCATATAAAAATGCATTGACTATATATCTCCTGGTCCCAAAGATTTGTAGAAAACATTATACTAACTTTCTTGAAGGGTTGGTTTTAGAAGACACAAAGTTATGACTAGAACCTATTTTTTTGCAAATAGATGCATTCATTGCTATACAGCATCATCTTTCTATCTGTATGTAACATCTACATGGAGTTCTCTATAGTATGAGTCTCATGAACAATAAAAAACAACTACATATAGGCACAGAAACCAGTAACGGACTAAGATCAAACAATTATGATGATCAGCTGCTGTAAACATAATAATCCCTCCATCTCAGAAGAGAATGCAAAGTATAATTTGGACAGGAATGAGGTAGAATGTATAAGCTAAAATAGAAGTTTGATCAATAAAGCATTCATTTGCTATTAGTTTGTCCTGCATTCTGTTAATTTACTTATCTGAGGTAAGCTGATTGAATGCGTATCCAAATAAGGAAAAAATCTATGGAAAAACAAAAGAAGAAAAATGCATCTTACACACTAAACAGTTAACTCAAATAAACATAGCGTCCAAACCTGAGTCTTCTCTTTAGACGCACTGTTAACAGCAATTGAAACCTGAAAACAGACTAATCAAGATCAGAGCTCAAATCAGAATCAGAAAACCAAAATGGAGGCAAATGAAATTAAAATTTAAACCTGTTTAACAGCAAGAAGCTCTCCAGAATCGAGATTCATGCCCATATACACTTGACCAAAAGCCCCGCACCCAATCAATTCACCCTTACGCCACCGGATAGTAGGAGCTTTCTCATCATTCTCTTTTACCACCCGTGGAGGTGAAGGCAGAAATGAGGAAGTTCTAGAGAAAACTCTTGACTTGCGAATACATGAATGGATTTTGTCGGCTAGGGTTCCGGGATCGCCGCCGTCGGGAGTACGAAAAACCAGAGATCGACGGACTGATCCGAACATGTCGTGCATCGCTACTAGTATCAATTGCAATGCTGTTAGGGTTTATGGATTCATCTGGATTCCTTTGGTAAACAGAAAATAGTTCGTAGTTGGAGAGAGAGTGTGTGTGGGGTGAGATGTGGGGGAAAGGAGGGAAAGGCGATGCCAATTCCTTTTTTTCAAAAAACATTACCGACTAAATTCATATACACCTTCTTGAATCTTGACTGATCTTTGACTTTTAATTTTTAAAGATGTACATAATACATCCATGTGTCTTACCATATTCAAACCGATTTCATTTGTATTAAATAAAGAAAGAAAAAAAAAATCAAAGATAATCTTATCGAAAGCATAAAGTTTGTGGTATCATTAATCAATGTATATGAGAACAAAAGAATTCTACTAAGGGCACCAAAACTATTATATAACTTACAACCAAATTTTTTTTGCTGAAATTTTCGTATTTTAAGGCCATATGGTATGTCGAGTGCATAGCTATTTACGAAAAGTCTGCTAAGGGATTGTTTTTCGATGTGTCAATCGATTGGAAGAGAGTATTCGTTAAGATGCGGTTACGGGTTTTGTGGGTGTCATTTTAAACTTTTCATATGTCTTTCAATTTATTGTGTCTTGAAACTATGTTGTAACCCGTTGTGCTGTTTAAGAGTTGATGATGATGTTTGTTGTCTGTATAAAAGACGCAAAGGTTTTATAAATTGTAGGTATAGTTATTGTTAGATATAACTGTTGTAGTGTTTGAGAAGAGTTCACAACACAGTTAGTTATTGATTTGAATATTGATATTGATGGTTTGAAGTTCAAATGATGTGTTGTTCGTTTATGGAAGCAACATGTTTACTTGAAGTTGTTTGAATTGAGTAGTACTGATATGATATTATTCGACGAAAAGATTGTTTGGTTTTGGATAAGTTGTCTTTGTTTTGTTTGATTTGGTATAGTTTTTTAAGCTTCTTTTGTTTTTTGTGATAATTTTAATGGGACCTTATTTCAGTCGCCATCAATAAGACTTTAGTTCTCAAGTTTGAGAGATTGTTTATGGAGTCGGTTTGAGCCTTTACACCCATGTGCCACCATTTAATCCGCTATTTTATAAAGTTAAGTTTGTTTTTTTGTAGATAACAAACTTACTCCACCCTAATCCTCCATAATTAAATTGTACATATATTAACCGATGTAGTTGGAACCGACCGATTAGATTGTAACAATTGTACTTAAATTGTATGAAACCATCCACTGACTCATTCCATACAACATTAAAATTCCAAAAATAAATAAATAAATAAACACATAACAACCCCCACATGCTTCTAAGTTTAAAAGGATCAACATGTGTCATTCTCGTTTCTTGCAAAGACTTCACCCAAATTTGTCTTCAAAAAGTAGCGGTGCTACATATATTCAAATATAGACGATAATCCAATTTCCTCACTTCCACCTATATCATAATCCAACAACCCTCCAAGCTCATTAAATATATTCATTTCTTCAAAAAAAAAACATATTATTTCATAAAACCATCTTGTGCTACATATATTCAAACATATTATTTCATAAATCTCGACATCTGTGAGTTTGAGCTTTAGGGTTAGTACTTCAAAGGTGATTGACATACACCCATAAACCTGTATTCATATTAACCAACATGACATGGTTAACACCAAACTTACAATGTTTTAGCATAAACTACATAACAATTCAATTTGCCTTCAACATTCAAACATATTTTTTGAAAAAAGGCAACAACATATAGGTCATCATAGTATCTGTAGCAAGCAAGAAGCATACATTTTAACCATATCCAAACACCAAAAGGAAAAAAAAAAAAAATTATAACCACAAACCAACTGTTTCACACAAACGACTTCCTCACTGCTTTTGTCCCTCTATACTTCAACGGACTCCAAACCAACTGTTTCCTCTGCAACGCCACCACCGTCGGATGCTTCGGCTTCCACGACCCCACCGCCTGCGACGGCGGCGGGCTCCCCATAAACCTCCTCGGCGCCGCCGCCACCGGTGTCCCCTCCACCGTCGCCTCCTTATCCAACGGCGACTCCACCCTCGAAGTCCTCAACACCCTTTGCCTATCCCACACAAACGACTGCCGCGCCACCACTCGGTTACCTTCATCCCTCAGCCTCGAACCACCACCACCGCTAGTTCCCGCCACCGGAGTGTTGCTTGATTCCGAATGGAAAGCGGCAATCGACGCCCGCCTCTTCGGCTTCAAAACCTGATTTGCCGCGGGAGTCGGTTTTGACGCGATGGATCCGCGGCGGGCCCGGGAGAGCGGTTTGGTGGTTTGTGGTGGTTTTGAGAGGTTTTCTTTTTCATCGGAAAGTAAGGTGCTGTAATTGGATTTTAATTTTGAGGTGGCGGATGATGGTGGATGAGTGGACACAAAATTTGTGATTCTTCTTAGAGGGAGGCGGAGTTTTGTGGAAGAGGGGATTAATGGAGGTCTTTTTTCTGATATTGTAGTCAGGCTTTGTTTTAATGAAGATTGTGAAGAAGAAACAACAGCAAGAGCTCGGTTTTCTTGTTTTTGTCTGGCTTTTCTCTCTTCAGCTAATTGACTTTCAAGATCTCTTACCTAAAAACCACAAAATAAATAATTAATAATAAGTAATTGTTGTTCTTTAGTGTTGTTATTTTATTTCTTGATTTATTTACCTTTTCTTGAAGAGTTCTACATATGTGTTCTCTTGCAGAAAGACGTAGTTGCACAGACTGTAGATTATCCTGTAACTTTTTGGTTTCTTTCTCGTCATGCTTAACCTTCTCAGCCTATTTTTTTTAAACAAAAAATTATATAAGAAAACAATATAATAAATAAATGAAAGTAGGTTGCTATTTGAAATTACCAGTTGCTTATATTTGAAGAGTTCAGTGACATCAGTTTGTTTTCTAGCTGGGCCATGTTCAACACCTCTCACTCTGCTTGCAAAATTCAAGGAACAAATTGTTTCTCCCAAATCTGATGAACTTGGACTTATTTGCACAAACATCAATGTCTTACAATCACCTCCTGCAAGAAATAGCAATCTACTTTTACATTGTGTAACAAAATATGTACTGAAGTAGAATGCCTTAATAAGAAAAAGGTTAAAAAAGGTAGAATGTTGTAACAGAAAGAATGTTGCTGTTTCTTGCACCAAGAAACAAGTGGAATGTAATTTTAACAATAATATGGTTTAAAAAGTAGGCTTATAGGCTTATTATATAAACAAACAACAATGTACTACTTTCATTATACTTCTTTCATTTCTTGGTGAATACAAAGTAACAAACTATGCACAAAGAACCAATTGAAATGCAATATCCACCATAAGATGAACTGAATGTTAAAATAAATGCTAAGAATTTAGCTACATACTTCCATTTATATGATTATTATATAGCATTTTACTTACATTTCTTCCTATTACAAAATTGTATTTTGAAAAATATACTCAATTATAGCAATGCCATTCAAACCACAGAGCAATTTTCAGTGCTAAAATTGAGTAGTTTTTTTCAAGGCAAGTTGCTATTTCTTGCATTTACCCCTAGAAAGTACTTCCATTAATTTGTTTATTATAGCATCCTACTTCCATTTCCTTCTATTATAAATATCATATGCAAAAGCAAAATGAAAGTAGGATGCTAAAACATTTAGCCCTAAAAAGTAACAAGATATGCACCAAGAAAACTCACCTAGAGAGCTCTGAAGAATATGGGTAAGCTTTGAATTCCTGAATTGGTCAAAAAGAAGATTGAAATAAGAAAAAGAAAAAAAAAAGATACTAATAATAATCCAGATGAGAGACATACCTGTAAGGAATGTGAGAAGTCTTTGATGCAAGAGCTGAAATCACATCACCTAAAGCTGAAAGTGATTTATTTATGAATTGGGATTCCTTCAGTCTTTCACCTTCAACTTCAATCTTCCCCACACGTTCACTTCCCGCCAAATCAACTAACCAAAGATGACTTCTTGTCCTTTGTCCATTTACCAAATTCTCCCCACGAACAGTCACCCTCAATAAGCTACACAACAACATTTTCCATAAAGATTCCACCTTGATTTTATATTCAAAACTACAATGCTATAACTGAATACACACACACACACACTTACCAATGAGATCGGCTACTTAGCTCATTGGCATTGGTTGATCCAACAGATCTGACACGACTCCCACTTTTGAGCAATTCCCAAACTTCATCTGTCTTGTACACAGCCACCTCAGAGAGTCCAGGAACTTCTTGTGTTCCTTCTGCTGATTGCTTAATTTCCAACCTGGATTTGTATGTTTATAAGTAAACGTAGAAAAGTAAGTAAGATGGGATATGTCAAGATTCAAGAAAGCTTACTTTTTAGCAGGGTGTTCAGTGTCTTCAACCAACAGGTCGCGTATCTTCTCATTGTAAACTTCTAACATGCTGACAAAGAGTTCATATCTCATGATATCACTTCTCTTTTCAGATTCTTTGAATAGTTGCTCCAGTGTTCGATAGTTGACTCCTCTGTGTTCAGGTGTTCCTTCCATTGTGAATGTTTTTCCAGTTCCAGTTTGTCCATATGCAAAAATGCATACGTTAAAGCCATCCAGGACTGATACCACTAGAGGCAAAGTTTGTGTAAAAACAGCCTCTGCAAGTGATTGTGATAAGATAATTGGATGAGATTATGAGGATGAAAATGAAATGATCACTGGAATTTGTTGTTGTTTATTTACCTTGGTTGTCCTCTGGTTTGAAAATATGGTCAAATTTGAATTGCTTTTTAGATGAATCTGACCCGATTATCTTGAGCTCGTTTTCTTGAACTGATTCAAAGTCAACCACTGAAGTTGACCCTTTAGTAATCTCATCGTGATTTAAGGGTCTACATCTGCAGAATACCCTTATGTTTCCTTTTAGTTCAATCACTTCATTGTAGAGTCTTCTTCTCTCTGAGCATTCTAGGTGGAATCTGTTCTTCAAGGTTTGGCACTCTTCTTGATACTTCTTCTTTAAGGTCTCATGTTCCTCGCCTTAGAGCAACAACATGATGATAACCAATTAAATTATGTACACTAAAAAATAGAACCAAGAACAAATTGAAAGTGAAATTAGGGAAGATACCAAGATTCTGAAGAGCAGTAAAAACTTCAGAGCCA